GGTTGTCCGCCCAGTATCCGAAGCTTTGCCCCAACTAATCCGGACCCGATCCGCGTCACGCACCTGGCTATGGTGGGTGAGTCTCCCAACAGGGGTGTTTGCGTACACTAGGACTCGAACACGAGACCTGCTTAAGCAAATCCGAGCCGCTTACCACTCGAACCAACCCCTGTTGGTAAAGAATCAATGTTAATCACCTCAAACAACAAGACAAGATAAGGCCATTTTCCATGTCTTTTTGGTTTTTTGCTTTTGCGAATTGTTTCACTCGTTCGATGAGAAGAATATTGGATGGAGTTTGACCGAATTTATAAATCAGATCCCTGTCATTTGAGTTGCAAGCTGCAAGTATATAGTCTAGATATGCACAATGCCATATATGGTACCTTACATTTTAGGTGTACAAGGTGGTAACACGAAATATCTGCAACCATGCATGTAGCTCTTTGCCACTAGGCCGTCCATTCCTCAGGGTAATCCGCAATCAAATGCCGTATTTCATATGATCATGGTTCAAAGATTCGGCCGAGTCGTCACCAGAAGGGACTTTTCATTCCGATATCGGGACAGGATGACTTTTACATAATGGATCGTTGAGACGTTTCTGAGACGGATAGAAACAACCGAGTCACTTCGAGTTATTCCGAATCATCTCGAATCAATTCAAATTTTTATTATTTTTACTAATTTTATTATTATTTTTATTTATCTTTTTTTTACAATTTTTAAAATATTAAATATTTTAAAAACTTTGCGTCTCTCGAAACCGTAACTGATATGCTAAAACCAACGTAGAACGGTCCATGCCGCAACCGCGACCACGGCTTTGAACCATGATATTATCGATTCACTTTTTGGCTTGTATATTTTGCCAAATGAAATAATTGACAACTGACTATGTCAGAGCCCCTTATATTAACCAGTAGTTTTCCTGTACATTGTATCCGCCAAGAAAAAACTAGAAGAAAAAAAAAGGTTTTACAAGGAAAAGTAGCAATCATACAAGGCACCACTATGGTCAATAATTGAAGGCTGGTGATGTACTAATACAACTCGAGATGGGAGCGTGAAAGTTGAATAACAAACAGACCATGTGAACCATATTCTTCTTCCAGATGTGGGAGGTACTGTTGCATACGATCGTTGGAATCTGGAACTTATCCCAGGGGCCCTTTCAACATGAAGTTTCAGCAGAGCTTCTGCTGATAATTAGGTGATATTAATCCATAAATGAAAGAAGACCAAGTGAAAGGACTGAGATAGCACAAAAACCACACAAAGTTGGCAGAAGTAGCAAAACATTTTGCTTTTATGGAAGATTGTGGTGTCTGTATTCTGTAGACTATGGTGATAAAGAATAATGAATAGATTGATGTTGAAAGAGGTCAAAGCTTCAGCAAGATCATCAACAGAATTTTACCTGATAATCCAAGGTTTATTTCCAGTCCTAGCTTGCGAGCAAAATTCTCGAGTATAGTATAATGTTTTGGTCTTTCAAAGTTCAGAAGTCTTGCCTAATTAATTTCACAGATCTACATAGCCATCTCCTCTGTGTATTGAAAATGCCTAATGTTGGTTGACTTTTTACCAGCATATCAATGTGACAACAATCTAACGAGAGCGCTACATAAAGTTTCACCTTTATTGGAAACAAGACATCAGAAAGTGAAGGACATAAAAGATTCTGCTGCACTCTCTTTTCTCCCCTTATCTCACGCACAAATAATTGTCTGTAGACATTATCACGTTTCTTAAAGAAGATAACCTTAGATGAAATCATTGGAATGGGAAGAAACTACGAGCCATATTTCCAAGTGCTTGTGCGGTATACCTTAATATTATAAGGCGATAACTGTTGCGTGGAAGTGCAAGAAACATGGTGATTTTATCTTTCTTCTGCAAGTGTCTAACTTAAATCCATTGATGGAGATAAGCACTGAATATATACAAACTGCATGACTCAGAATCAAGAAAAACTAATGTGTAAAACAAGAAGAATAAGCACAGATGGCTTACCAAAAAAAAAAAACACGCGCGCCCACACACACACAGAGATGGGAAAAGAAAGTAGCAAATTCAGGTTGCATGTGTTTTGGATTTTGGTTAGGCATGGTTAGATAGTGATGAGAATTTGGCATCAAGATGAGCAAACCTAGGTGATTGTAATCTTCTCTTCAATGTTTTTGGTGAGGAAAAAAAGAAAATGAAAGCACTTTATTTTATGGGGCTCGCTGACTAGCTTTCGTTCAGTCCTCTTGAGTGGCTTTGCTTTGGGATCGTGTCATTGAATGCTAGTCCTGGACCAGTCATGGCTGCTTCCTGCATGTATGGGATATTTCTTCTGTTAGGCCAAGTATACGACTTTGTCATAGAGCCTGCGGTCAGAACTTGGCAAATAACTCGAGAATGCTTGCAGTCCATCGAGTCAAGTGGCAAAAGTTCTAAGAAGAAGATACTACATCTACATGAAATAAATCAGGTGTCTTAACTGAAGTTTGGGGTGGAAGTACTGGTGTTACAAAACAATTAGTAATCAGAGACCAGTAGATGCCATCTCATATCCGGACTTTAATACTACCTGGAAAATTGAAGTTATAAAGCTGGAAATACAGGATATTTTTTTGCTCTAGGAATATAGCCTCTTAAGCTAGTGCAATGGTACCATATTGCTGTTGGATAGTTGAATAGACCTAAATAATCAGGCATTTCCGGACTTGTTTCGATTTTGTGAAACAGGCATTTCTAGCCCAACGGATCTTCTGTCTCACACCCTGTGCCACTCTCTGTGTCACTTTTTATTATATTGTTATTTCTCCTACATAAACATCACGTTTTAGTTCTTTTTTGTTTCCTTAAGATCCATAAACAGCACTTTGTAATGGACTCTCCGTTATGCTACTTTAGAACCGATTTTAAAAAGCTCTGGCAATTGAAAAGATGCCCAGGTTGTGTTCTCAGGCAATTGAAAAGATGCCCAATTAAAAATTTTATTTTACAGAATGTGATAAACATTTTAAACGATTTTTCCATTACAATTACTAGCAGCGACCATAATAAAGTTGCAAGATAGGGAACTCATAACGGGCTTGTCCCAAAAAACATGTCCATACGTAATACTTGGCCCAATGAAAGTGTCCTCAAAACAGAGCACAAAAATTAAACCCATATCCCGGATATAATAGGCTTGTTTGTTTGTCCCGTCAAACAGGCTGAACTTGTGCAAATAGATGGTTTAGTTAATTACTGAGCTTTGATTTAGTGACCACCAAATAGGACTAAGTCCCTCTTTGGATTGTAGGTTGGAAATTTGAACTTCACGTGCAATAATAAAAATTCAAAAGAGGTACTAGAGCGTCCATTTGATCTAGTTTTTTTAAACTCCTCCTCCTCCTTTTAGATTAGAATAGTGGCCCAAAAAAAAAGATGGTTTAGTTTTTTTTGGCAAAATCCTAGTATAATTAGATGTGATCCTGTTTGGATTGCAAGTTTTTAAAATTTTTTGTAAAAAAAATATTATTGCGATATAATATATGTAAAATAAAAAAATTGATTGAGAAATATGTTAAGCCAACATTTTTTTTTACCAAAATTCATAATCCAAACAAGGTTTTCTATTTTTTTTCCATTATTTATTTTCTAGCAAACTTTCTTTGCTACCAACATAAGGTATGCACCTAGTCAAAAGCTACAGTTGCTTCTTCTTGCCTCTATTTCTCTCCATTTTCCGAACTTCAAGTTTTATCTTGTGTGACAAAAAAAATCAGAACATTCTTTTTCTTGTCAAATATCGTTAACTTTGAGAATTAGGTCCTAAATAATTGATGCAAACTGGTCTTGCATGAACCTTTTTTTGCACCCTTGTACAGTCAACAAAAACAAAGAAATGGCTCTCTGCTGTCGTGATCATGTGTTGTTTAGACAGCCATAGGTCCATAACAATTCTCTTTCCTTATATCTTTTCCAACATCTTTTCCGAACTAATAAAAATATAAACATAATGCAGATTGACCTAACTGCTTAGTGAAGTGACAAATTTGGATGTGCGGAACAATAATAGGAAGACAAAGGACTGATATCGTCCTGGTCGAAGTATCACAAAGCCCATCAACAAATTCCATCTCACAAAAATCTGCTGTTTCCTAGCAATTATTTTCCTTCCATTTTGAGCTAGTTTGCTCCGGACGAGAGGGCACCTGTCGTGTGTGGGGGTGTGTGCGTTTAAAGTTGCCTTTTGTTTCTGTTACAAGCATTTGATACGGGCTTATTGGAACCTGAGACCCATGTAGGGTTTGCAAAGCCAATAAAGGTCACTGATCGTTCACCTTTTTTCTGTTAATATCCAAAAATTCTTGACAGAGAAGTACAATCTTTCAACTAACTACCTGTTAGAGTTTTTGAATAATTTTTGAAGCAAATGCATGTTCATCTGGATGCTTGAAAAGTTGTGTTTTTTGTCGAATTCCATTTATGTATAAATTATGAACGAGTTCATTATATGTATAAACTCGCAATATGAATAAATTCATGTTTAAAAAAAAAAAAAAAAAATTTCCTGCAGTAGAGGTGTAGGATTTAAGAAGCGAAAAAGAGCAGAAAAATTTTAACCCAAAATATCTAATTTCTTGGATTTCAACCACTACAAGAAAACCGGCTTTTTGCAACGCTTTTGCTGTGGCACAAGGAGAAAGTGCGGTAAATAAGCAGCAAATTTCAATTTGTGCTGCAAATTTCACAACGGTTCCTAATTTTTACATAAAAACGACATAGTTTTAATAAAATTTATAAAAAATAGTTTCCTAGCACAATCCACGTATCGATTCATTGTAAAAAGGTATCGATAAGCCCCCAAAAGCAGGAAGGGGTCAACCTTAGTACAAATAAAACCAAACGACAACAGACACAACACAAGTCCCCCCGCTCTCTGGCCCCTGGCGTCATCACATCAGACTCCACCCACAAACAAATACTTAGTACTAACAAAAACTCCAACACAAAAATTTTAAAAAGCCAAATCCACCCACTTACTCCATTTCCTTTTCAGTTCTCTCCGTTCTTCTTGGCCGTTTCCGGTAAACCTCCTTTTACTTCACTACTGCAACTTTCCATCTTCATCTTCTCCACAAGATCTCGCTCAAATCACCAAAACTGCACCGCGCACTTCACACACTGCTTTTTTACGCGCGTATCTGCTTCAAATATAGCAGAAATCAAAAGCTCTTACGCCATCACTATTACAGAGAAAAAGGTAAAAATTCTTCCATATGATTTTCGATTTCTATTTTTTTTCCCTCGTATGTCTTTGAGACTTGCACTCTTCTGTGTTGCATATATATTAATAACCCTAGGATCTTAACTGAATTTCGGTTAATAAGATTTGGCACAAAACCCTAATTTGATTGGGCAAAGTAATTGGTCCTCCGTTGATTCTGAATTTTGTCAACCACAGTTGTCGAAATTCCTACAGCTGAAAGCTCGAACAAATTGACCCAACCATTTGAGTCATTGACTTCAAAAATTAGGTCTCGCGGCAACTAGAAGAGTCTGCCCCACTACAGCCCCTGTTCGTTGATATTGGTGTGTTCATGTAAGTGTTTCTTGTAATTTAATGTAATGCGGCTTATGAATCTGCATCCTTCATTTATTTGCTTTGAAATGTGGATCTGGCTGACGGTCAGGAAGGATTCGCGAATTGCTTCTTGACGATTTGCCCCATTTATTTGCTTTGAACTTCTGTTTCTGTTTGTGTTTGCTAGCGGGTGTGTTCTACTGTTTTCAACAAAGCAACCTTGATAGCTTCAGCTTGTTGTTGGACTTGATAGCCTGTTGCTCTTTCCCTGAATGCCCATCCCATAGTGTTTCTGTCACCTCCCGTGACTAGTGTTTAACTGAAAAATGTTGGGAATCTAATAGCTAGAAAAGTCCTCCATTTCTTGAAAAAGTTTAGTGGGACACGAATTAGGAATTGTTGTAGATTTTGGGTGCGTGGGCCAGGAAATGTAATTGTTTTAACAATTCTTTGACAATGTATACTAACTTGCAAGCAGTAAACTTTCCTTCCTGGCCTGGCATGAAGTTGAAAACTGCTAACATCTCCAGCAATATATTAAACCTCTTGTCACATAAAGCTGAAGGGCTTCTCATCACAAAGTCTGCATTCCCTTGTACCCCGGGTGTTTACTACCTTAGGCCACTTTTCCTAACACGTGAGATTTTTCTCCTTTCATGAATTTGTGGATCATCATGGTGTGCAATCTGCAGAAAACTAATATCCTTCTCCAGTTGACTCAAAAGGTAATGATTGCAATAGATAGCCCAATGACATACAATTTACCTTTTTCTTTATATTATCATCTTACTCCCTTGTTAAGATATCAATTCTCCAAAGAAAAAGGTTATTTATATAAATTCCTCTACTAGTCATAAGTTGACAGGCTCGCCAAGATTGAATAGCTCAGAGTTAGAACGTTTAGAGTCTTTTACTGAATTTGGCTTAAATTCTCCTTTAGCCATTGACGTAAATCATGTGGTACAGAGCCTCTGTTTTTTCATCTAAACAATTACTTATGTGGTATGAACTGATTTACATATTGTTCTCAGTTCAAATTTTGTCATTACCCATTAAAAAGTGAAAATTGTCACGGTCATAAGTATAGAACGGGCTAATTTCTCCTTGTATTGTTGAAGCAAACAAAGATCAAGAAAGTGTGGTCTTGACACGGGTTATTTCTGCTTATATATATATATATATATTTTTTTTTCTGTGTGTCCGGGCTCAAAAATTTTTTTGAGAAAAAGAACCACTATACACCATAGCCTCACAAACAGAAGCCCCATTGTAATAGAAGGATTCTTTTTTGTTATATATATGTTTGAGAAAAAGAACAAATACACAATAGCATTAATTAGTACAACCATTATTATTTTTATCTGCCTAGCAATTGTAGCTTGCTAGCAATTAAATGTTCTACCAAGTTGCAATTAGGAATTTGTAAGACAATCTAGCTCCCCTGATTTATCTATGTTTTTTTTTCTTGCAAACAGAACACTGGTTTGCATATTGACATAAATTCACCACATTCTTTTGGCATTGAGAAGTTGGGTTAACTGTTAACATCGCATTTCACTATGAGCATAGCAAACTGGGATGCACATGCTGCACTTTATTTTTTATTTTTATTTTTTTTGCATGTTAATAAATTTGCTATTTTTCAATTCTGTTTATAAGGTCTCTTTTCTTGCCTTCTCAATCTTGTTTCTTGTAGAATGGATGATAGGTCTTGGATCTTTATTGAAGACCGAGTCAATAATCCATACTTTGAAAAGTGTCTGAGTGACTTCCTTAAATTTGCCTACAAAAAGAAGGAGGTTGGGAGTAGAATATATTGCCCATGTAGGCGATGTAAAAACTCAGAACGAAGAAAGGAAGAAACTGTGCGTGCACATGTAACAATGAAGGGGTTTTTGACCACTTATACAAATTGGATTTATCATGGTGAAGATCCATGGGACTTCAATCAAGAAAATATGAACAATGGAGTGTTTAGGCGCATTGAAAATGATGACATGAATGAATTGATACACGAAACACTTGGAAGAACACTTGAAGAGAATTCTAACATAAATTTAGAAGAACTTAGAGGAGCCTGTGATGAAGAGACTAATAAGTTTTTTAAGTTGCTGAAGCATGCCGAAACAGAGTTATACCCTGGATGTAAAAATTTTACTCTTCTATCATTTGTCATCAAGTTGTTGCATGTCAAGGCATGTATTTATTGTCACATCTCTTTTGCTTTTGAATTAAATTCTAGTGCTATTATGATTTTGATGTGTTGTTAACTACCTTTTTCTGTTTTGTACATAATTAGAAGCAAAGCAAGATTAATAGCAAGAATCGATAAAAACAAAAGATGCCACATCGAACAGGGCGAAAAGATCATGTGAACCTCAGGGAAGAGGTATATTAAATTCTAATGCTTATGTTTCTAGCAATTTTTTCTGGAACATAGTCTTATTTAGAAATATTAACACTTTAGTTTGTACATTGAATATGTGGCAGCTTCGGATTAAAACTGGAAAAGAGCCTTCGAAACTAGACGTTTTTATTCATTCAAGACAAGGAAAACAAATGGATGAGTTGACTTCACAAACAATTGTAAGAATAGCTTTTAGTCACTTTTTATTGGTTTTACTTCATAAATAATTCTTTCTTCTGTCTGTTTTTCAATTTAGGCAACTATGAATGAGGAAATACAAAAACTGCCAGAGACATCCAGGGATGATAATTTTGTGAAAGATATACTCTATGAAAATATTCTTGGACCTGAAAAACCAGGTCGTCTTCGAACTTATGGGGTAGGTGCGACTCCAAAAGACGTGTATAGGATGTCAGATAACATGAATGATGGACAAAAGAAAGCATTTGAGGATGCAGTGAATGAGAAAGTGGAAATCATACGTGGTGAACTACGAGAAGAAATGAATTCGAAATTGGCAGATTTTAAGGAGGAGTTGATTGCTCAATTTGAAGCAAGAATGGTTTGGGATAACTATTTTGTTAAATATTATAGTTTTTGTAATTTTTTTATTGCTTTAGTTACTATTGGTCTTTGTTCTTCCAGAGGGCATCCACATGTGACTTGGCATCACTCCAAAGAAGAGAAATGAATGCAGCAAAACAATCTCAAATTTCGGACTCATTAGAGGTTGTCTATTAATTCATACAATTCGATTTTGTGTTCAAACTCTCTAAAATATCAGCAGCTATGGCCTGATTTTCTTTTCTTCACACTTTGTTGATAATGTAACAGGTTGGTGATAGAATGAACAGGGAAGTTGGAACAAATGATGCTGAAATGTACAAGGAAGTTGGAACAAATGATGCTGAAATAAACAAGTGTGAAATGAATAAAAAAGTTTCTTCAATTGCTGATATTCTTGAGGTATAGTATGCGTACTTTGAGTTGGTCCTTCTATAGAAGACCAATTTTGCTGAGTTCCTTGTTGATATTGAATTGTGCATGACTTCCTTGTTGATGACTATTTGTGCATGAGCTCCTTGTTGATATTTAATTGACTAGTCTTTTGTTATATCAGAACCATCATACAAAGAAGAAAAGGAGCAGGACTACTTGCAAACGACTTGCTTGAGGTACTGGAAAAGTTTCTGGAAATAACTCTATTCTGTCAAGTTTTCCAAATGTTGAACAATTTGATGGATTGGTATGAACTACGAAGAATCCCCCATGTTTCCTTAGGGAACTTTTTAGCGTACGAGTGGCCTAAGACTTTCTGGTACACTAGCATACTCAGGCAGCCAGCTAGCGTAGCTACCAAGCTAGGCAGTGTCTTGGTAATTCAAGATATCAATGTCCAAGAGTGGGGAAAATGGGATAATGACTGTCTAAACTTTGTACCAAGAGTTCTGTCCACTCAGGCATTTAAGAGATAATAGTTTTTTTTTAGTGCATTTGAAATTGTGTAAATTTGAAATGTGTTATTGTACACTCCAAAAACAAAAATAACTATCTGGAAAACTCCATAATCCAAGCAGAGCCATATAATCAAAGACAAATACATTGCAAAAGTAAAATTGCTGACCTTTATAATCCACCATAAAAGCTGAGTTAAAAGGGTGCAATAGATTCTTGAGTTAGTCTCGAGTGGAAAGTGATCATTGTTAGGAATATGTCATTTTCACGAGAAAAACTTTTGCTCCTGTTCGTGTCTTTCCAACTAAGAAAATGATCAGTGCTGTTAACTAAAAACCTGCTTTTTATGTTGCATCTACGAAAAGAACAGAGTCATTATGGACTTTGAGTTTGAGTTACACACAGTTAATCAGAGACAGCATGGTTATTGGTTTGGCAAGTCAAGGTGTCTCGGAAATCCTGGCTTGGCTAGTACTGATCAAGAACAGATTTGATTGCTGAATTTCTTGGATCTCCACCAAGATTTTGTGAAAGCAACTCTCACTCTTGTGCATGTGTTCGTGAGCCTACTTTTTTGCCTTAATTAACATATTAAACTTGGCAAGTCGCACATATGAATGATGCCATGGATTGCTGCCTTTATTCCATTCACAGTTCTTGAAAGCAACTCTCATGGTTCTGCATCTGTGTTTGTGACCATACACTTTTTTGGGTCTTCCACATACTTAAATTAGTTGTACTTCTTTAATTCAGCATGTACTTTATAATAGTAACTGTTTGCCCCTTTTCAGTGTCTGTGAAAAGGTTGAATTACAAATTCCGTTTCAGTATCTATTGTTATATTAACGTTTTCTTCATGCTTAATGGGTTGGGGTTATATGAGCAGGGGACTAATAGAATACACTTTGCAGCCCTGGACTTGATGGTACATTGGAAGCATGCGGATTGGGAGATATGAAGATGTTTTTGAGAGATGTATGATAAAGTGTTGTACTTTTGAAGACAAGCACATTTTGGAATATATGAAATATCTTGTAATTGGAGCGAACAATATTAAATGATAAAGTTTGTAGAATTTGACTAAAACAATGTATGGTATTTTATTCTAGTGTATTGTGGAACTATATTTTGTTATAATATTCGATTTTAGGATATTTGAGCATGATAATTATTGTACCATGAAAAATTTGATTTCTGGTCTTTATATTGGTGACTTTTTTGCGACGCAAGTTTTTGTCGCATGACATTGTGGATATTTTGTAGCGCATTTTTTGTGCCGCAAGTAGAGTGATGCAAATGCATGCGACATGTTGAAAAATTGTGTCGTTTTCTTTTGTAACGGCTACTTTTGTGACACAATTTAATTCCGTCGCATTTGTGCCGCAAAAAGGTTTTCGCGGCGGTTTTTGGACTTTTTGCAGCATATTTCTGGCGTCGTGAAAAGTCAGTTTTCTTGTAGTGAACCTTAGCCACTAACAAATTCATGATTTATATAAATATATAGTATGTAAAAATTCTTTGTATAAATTCATAGTTTCTCCCAAAGGAATTCAATAATTAAAGTTGTTAACTCTTCATGAATATTTCTCAAACATTATATAAAGGTCAAACGGTTCATGGTTTGTGGCAAAAACTCTATTATCCCATTTCACTAAATTTACTTGTAAAAGCAAGTCATTCTTATTCGAGTGGCTTAAGAAACAAGTGCAAGTTATCTTGAGCATTGTTATATCATTTTATCCTCGAGTATTTCTCCTTCTACTACACTTAGTAAGAGACAAATACACCCTTAAAAAGGGTGTATCTAATGCGCGACTCGGTTGCATAATCTTCAAAGTTCTTGCAAGTTTTTGAATTCCCTTTATTCCTATAGTAACGTTTCTAACACTACCAGGAGGGAATATCATAACAAATTGTTGCATTAATATTGTATGGCTATTTTTAAGCTCAGATTGACATTAAGAGCTGTTTTGTATTTGGTTTGTAATGAATGCCATAGGTGAAATTCAGCAATGCCTAGATTGATGCAGTTTTTGCAACATTTAGCTATTTGAGTCTCATATTGACTACCATGAAGAAGTGACCTCAAAAAGGAGGTAGCATGGTACGAACAATATTCCAAGCCTTTCCAGGAGTAGTCTTTATTGCAATTTCCTTGAATCTATTGATGCAAGCTCTTTATCCATATCGCTCACATTCTGTAATATGGTCATCTTTTGCATGGTGATGCCCCACCTAGGCTTGAGTATATGAAGTTGTGTGTTTGACATTTTAGCCTTCGTAGAGGACCCAATGGCTTAGAATTTTATATTTAGAGTTTGAGTTACGGTGAGGTGTAATGCTTTGTGTTGTGTGATTAGGTAAGTCTCGGGCAGTATTAGTACAGTTTATTCTACTACACCCACTTGATCCCAGAAAGGGGTGAAAGAATGTAAATAGGAAGTAGTCAACCATTGCAGAAGATAGCTGAATTTGAATCGCTAATAAAGGGCTGAGTGTGAGATCACAATTCATAGAGAATATTCCATAAGATGGCACAGGAGTTCAAAACCTAGGGCTCTCTTAAAATTGTCCTGAAGTCCAAATCTGTTTCTGACTTTCACTCTTTACTCCTGATGCTGTTACACGAAGATAAGGCTCCAAAAATTGGCTTTGCTTTCAAGTGGAAGTAGAAATTTCAAGTCCCAACTCTCAAGTGCTTTTTCTTCTCAAAGCAGACAAAGCAAGCGTAACATGTTAGTTTAGATCTGACATTAGAAGACTGCTGTTTTCACCCTGATATAGCTGCACAGGACTCCTTAGATATCAGTCTAATATCAACTCAACAAGCCACAACAGTAACTAAAACATTAAGCTCCTTCAATTATGTGAAAATGAAGCAGTGACCTTACTGATATTGCAGAACAGCACCTTCAGCCTGAGTTACTTCAGATATTCTTGGTGGAGGCAAGTTCATTGGTCGAAATATGAATTTGCTTGTAAGTTATAATTGCACTCGACGTAGTCCAACTAGAGATATTAAGAACTAAGAAGATAACAAAGTAAATGTTTGAATATTGTAGTATTTTACTTGCTTTAGATGAATTGTTTACTTGCATACATGGACATGCAAGGGGAACTTGTTTGCGTGCTACGTAGTTCAGAAAACTTCCGCTGGGTTCTGGATTTGATTTGTGAAGATTATAGTTAGTACTCCCACAATGGACTATTTAACTGGCCTCTTGTCATAAATCAAGTCAACCAACATCATGTTGGCAGGCTTATGAAACTTCACGGGGGCAGGGGACGGGGGATTTTTTGTTTTTTTGGTGGTTGTCACCGTAGAATGGGGAAGCAAACGAGCCGAGTCAAATCAAAATTTGGCTTAATCAAGTCGAGTCTTAACTTAGTTTTATAAAACTCGAACTCGAGGTCAACAAACTCAAAATGTAAAACTTGAGTTCGAGTTCAACTCAAATTCGAGCTTA